CGTCGATAAGGAAGGAATCGGACAACGTGGAGGAAGATCAGACGAAAAAAAAAAGAATTTTTGATAACGTCGTGGGACTAAAAGAATTTTCGTAATTTTGGCCTGTCACTCGTAAATAATACAGTGTACTTTTATCGAATCAAGGATATTACGTAAGAAGGACGTTGCTGAATTGAAGGAAAAATTATGGCGTTAATTTAGAAAGCGATCTGTTAACCTCGACTGTTTGTTGTTAGGCATGTAATTGGGGTCAGGTACGGTCGATAATTACAGATAATCATAACCTGTTTTACCGACCGACAATCATTTTCGTGATGTTGAATCTTGACTAATTGTACCTTTTTTTTCCTCGTTCCTTCCGCTTATTCCCGATCTTACCGACTCCTCGCGACTTTATTATTGTATCCTAACCTAACCTTATCTAACCTTACTTATCGTCCTTCCACATTCCCCCACACCTTATTACTTTGTTTCCGGGCTCGCGCGGATGCTGCACGACCGCAATCCCGACGACGACGACCAACATCGACCGCAATCAACCACAAACATAACCTCGACCACACTCTGCTAACCATAATCGTGACGACGCCTCACTACGGACATCGACACAACGATGGCAATGTGTCACCGACGCCATCGTCGCCACGGTAGCGGTAAGTCAAGATAAAAAAGAAAAGTCAGTGATATTTCGAGCGTTCTCGACAGCGGCAACGCGTGTACGTGTTTCTCGTTCGTTTGATTCTTTTTTCTTTTCGAACTTGTCATTTTTCTTTTGGTCCCGAGCTTTTTAGAAAGAACGAAGAATCTTCGCAGCGACTACGGTAGTCAGTCGCTGCACGCTTGTGGATTGTATCTTTGGGCACTGTTTAGTCCGATGGTTTTGAAAATTTTGCGGATTTTTTTATTTTGAAAAATTTTCTTCGGGGACTCCACGATATAGAGTTTTGACGCGTATCTTCAGGAAGGCGGACGAAATTATCTTTGCGATTATCGACCTACTTCTGGTTATGATTGACGGTTGGTTTGATATTTGAATTTAGTTTTTTTTACAGAAATTTCTTGTCCAATTCTTTATAAGGGTAGTTTCATTCGCAAGGGATTTACCGACAGTCAATTTCGAGTAGACCTCCAGGATATAATATCCCTAAGCGGAAACTGTGAGATACGCCGGAAGTTCTCGTGTAAGTGGAAATAAGTGTAGATACTGGATAGTCTGAGTATCAGATGAGGATGCTGTGTTCGTCCATTGTTAAGTGGACCAACAGTGGATTAGTGCTTCTTTAAAAAAGTGTGTTGACTTAATTAACTATCGAGTTTGGAATTTTCAGTGAAATTTTACGTGATTAAAAAAAAAGGGCAAACATTGCACCGGAGTTAGTCAGACGGACGGGGATCGAAGTCGTGGAAAAATGTCGACGCCTACAGCGTCTCGACGCCGTTTAAATCCCGCTGTACTCGCCAGATACAACGATCGTAAAAATCATTCGCCTCAACAGGTAGTTTTATTAATTATCTTTATCGCTCTCTTGTCAGATGCTTGTCAAAGATCGAAAATACTTTTGCGAAATTAATGCGCGCTCTTAAGGTCCTTTTTTTCACGTACTGGATGACCCAATCATATTGTTGCCTAGTTTCCCGCGTGTGTATCGTATACGAATAGTTATGCGGAAAAAAAACCAATTTGAACTACATTTTGAAAACACGCGATCGCGTAATATTGACGTACATATAGGCCGTTGATAAAAAAAAACGATTGAGAATTAAGTATCGATAAGAAAGCCAGATGGACCTTGTCCCTGATTCGTAACCTGCATGACGTGTCACGCGATCAAAAACATTATTGGAGCATATCCCTAACCTTGTGCGATAGCTTTGGGCTCGAGAGCGATCGTGGCGCCCCTGGCGGCGAAAACTCGCAGAGCAGAGGTATGCCTCTTCCTTGGGTTTTGATCTTATAGCTTCGTTCCCTTAACTGTCGCGCCTCTTGCGTATTCTCGTTATGTTAGTTGGTATGCTGAATCGACAATAGGAAGTTATCGAACGTATCGAGAATCCTGGATCAGTCACGTGACCTTAATTGGACTGGGTCTACCAATAAGAGCGAGGAAGTTGTCGGCCCTCTGTTAGGTCTGTACTGTTATATTTACGAACACCTATTGAATCTCGAGTAAGATTTTATTTTACACAGCAGCGCCGCTGTCGTTCGTCGCTCGCTTGTCAATTTGGTTAAATAAATTTTGTATTTCCACGCGAGGATAGTTTTTGGATTTAATTTTGGTATTGTTTCGGTGACGTTATCGTTATCGATGGAATTTATATTTATGGTGGATCTTTTTTTGAGCATTTTTTAAAATGTGCCATTTGCAGCCCTTTTAATTTTTTCGAGGGTTAAGCGAACTTGTCACTTGTTCAAAACAATGGCTACGACCCACTCTGCTTCGTGGATGTGGCGGGTGTTATTTTTTTTGTTCCCATTGAAATTCCATTGGTGCTTGAAGAAAACGGGGGAGCAACCCCTTTGGCTTTAACCCTGCGTATTATACTCGTTGTCTTTCTAACCCTTATACGTTTTACCCCCTTATGCTTCGCGAGCCATTAAGTCCCAATTAAGTCTCTATAAACGACGCTTCGTTGGATGTGCGTCCTATTGCAAATGGTCGAGTTCGTACCCACCTTCCCGTCGTTTTTTTTCACAAAATCGTTGTATCTTTATTAAAAAAAAAATATAGAACCTGTCGTACGTTTTAGCCTAAATATCATTTCCTGATAGTAGCTTTCATTTTTACATGATATTTATTTTTTCTAAAGTTAAATTTCCATATATCATTTTTTTTGTATAAAATTTTTTTTCAAGATTGACTGTTTCTATACAAGACCGATAATTAGATTATCGATAATGATGACTGACAATGTGGTAGGCTCTTAATTTGCACGCAGATGCAAAAAAATCGTCCATTAATCTTACGGGGACAAGTGAATTTAGTTTGATCGATCGACGCGCCATCTTTACCCAAATTCAATATTTATTTAGTTTACCAAAATACTCAGCGAATAACGTATCGTATTTTTGAATATGCACAAGTCCTTGCGTATTTCTTAGCGGTTCAGTCGCTAAAGATAGCCGGTAGGTGGTGGTAGCTACGCGGCCGTGGAAATTCTGTTTCATTATTGGAGAAAAATTGAAATAAAGGTACGGTTCGGTCACGAGATCAATTCGTCTTTTGTAAGAAGAGATTCAATTTCCCTTTATTTTTTTTTTTCTTTAACTGTCCCGTTATCGGCAGATTTATTACCGGCACAGTAATCATCTTGCAAGTTTAAGTAAACAAAAAATAATAATATCCGTCTGATATGTAACAGACGTTACGTTGCTCCGACCGTACATTAACCGTACGTGTATTTCATGTTGATATTCAAATTGCGCAGTGCCGACATTTTATCACGTGTGTCACACACGAGCACGTGTATCGATTGACAGGTAATTCTGTGTGTGATATAAGTTCAACCGAGGTATATGCAAATTAACGACTGGTGGTAAAAGTCAAGCCTGGGGGTTAATTAATGTTATTTGATGGATAGGCTTATGTTTCGCGCCTGTTGACGAGCAACCCGTCTGACGCCGAGTGGTAAAGAAAGGGGGTATGTAGGGGTTTATGCAGGTATAGTAAAAAAAGAGAAAGACTGAAATTTATAGATTTTATTATTAATATTTTGTCTTACGGTATATTGAGATTTATTTGTATTTCTTCGATCACGAGGTCATCTTATATAAAATCGAAAATCGAATTGTTAATTTGTACAGTTTGGATCATGAGTTTACGTAATAATTATCTTTGTCGAAATAATTGCTCGTTTCAGTGATAAACGATTTTTAAGTAACGTATGACATGTTTGATGCAATGGACAGGAAGATTGGCACGATTGAATCTAAAAATGTCGTATTAGCAATTGAATTTATACGGGGCGATAATTAATTACAGAGCCGTTACGTGATAACAGTTTCGTTTCTCTGAGTTTTCGCGAAACGGCAACGCTAGACCAAAGCTTTTCGAGTGAGTTCCCACGTAAGCGACAGACGTAAAAGCGAAAAAAATGGAAAGAAAGGGTTGGCAAAAGCGCGTGCGGCGGAGGGTTTAACTACGAGTGGAGGCTTGAAATCGTTTGAGAGTTTACCGTCTCGAGACGGAAGTTATGTAGAGACGAAAAAATAGCAGACGTGACCCTCTTGTTAGGATTTCAAAAAGGTACATCCGCTTCGTTCCTGATGAACAAATACAACGCCTCCGTTTTTTCTCCTTTCGTTTATCAATAACCATCCCTTACACCAACCACAAAATTGTGATCATTTCCGCAAGCACACACCGAATAGAATCGATCGCCAATTCCTCCGCGTAATTAAAGCCAAGATCGTTAGTTCAAATAATCATCCAAGCCGCAGTTGTCGGTAACAACCGCAGGGCGGCGCTAGTGGCTCCGCGTGTACGAATGCTCGCGACTCCTCGGCCGGCAAGGATCCAGAGTCGTACCCTCTGGTGGGCAAGCCGATAACTATTGCTGTCATATCATAAGAACTTCCCCGAACACAATTTAAGCAATATAGAAAAAACCGTCGATGCATACCGTGGCCACGAATAATCGGAAAAAAAGTACAACTCGAATGTTAAAAAGGACAGATTATTTCCAAGATTTCCTCGAATTCAGATAGACTGCCCAGTATGTCGCTCTCTGCCGTCATTCGAGTCCATTAAAGGGACGCCTATGCACTCCTAAAACCTCTGGATGTCTCTTTTCAGGGGTAGGTATAGTACTAGAAGGTTTACCGAGAGTAGTGGGGGAAGAGTTTCACGGGGTGGGACTCTACCTCGGTGTCGGGCAAAATGACTAGGCGAGACTGGTGAGAGTTAGGGGCTTATACTCTCCCCTTGTCTCTATCCTCCCACCACTGCTCGTGGCAGCTGCGTCAGGCGTGGTCGTCCTCTTGGCCAGCCGAGTCGAGTCGAGTTCAGTCGGGTCGAGCCGAACTGAGTCGAGTCCCCCGAGTCACGTTGAGTTTTGAGTCGAGTCGCGATCTCCAAGCCGGTTGTGTGTCAGAGTGCGTCACGCTCGGCTCTTCTGTCGGGGATCGTGACGTTCAGTGCCGCCGCGACGCTAGTGCCGGTATAGCTCCGTCCGTGCTCTTTCTGTCTATTTGTTTGCGTCCGAATAGGACCGATGAAATATTTTGAATTGCTCGGTGGCTTGCTGGCAATCGTACTTTCAATATCGTCGTTATACCTCGGCTATATCGACTGTGTGTTTTAAAAAGGTACGAGATGCGGTTTTACGCTTCGTGTTGAAGCTCGCGGGTGGAATTAGCTGCAAGGCGGGGCCTTCGATGTATTCCGATTCATCGCGAAAACAATGGCAAGAAAAGTGAGAGTGGGTGACCGTGCGTTTCGCTCTTGCCTCGCTGACGTGAATCGTCAGGGTTCATGAATTGCACGTGAATGATTTTCGTTATTCATTCTCTATATATTTATAGATATATTTACAGTGAGTGACAGTGCGGTTGTGTATATTTCGAATAATATCTTCTTTTTTTCCCCTTCTTTTTCGTAAACAGTACTCGCTTGGGTACTCGAGGAGGGGGTTATTATATATTTTGAAGAATTTCATATTGATCTTTATATGTGTGATCGAAATGTCCAGGTGTTTATGTGGTAGGAGGATGAGTTCCAAGCTTCTGATTGATTTTTTTGTGTGGCAATGTCTCGAATCCGATGGTTTTTGTTTATATTAATTTATATATTATTGCTCGTGTTCAATTTCTATCCTTGGGTGATTTCGCGCGCTTTTCTTTTCTTTTCGATTAATAATCGTTTGTTTTTTTTTGGGACGATGTACATTGGCTTTTTTATAATTAATTGTACTCGTAGCTGCTTTATTTTGAACTGCCGCTTCTGCGAGGAAATTTAAATGTGAAATTTTCAGCTTCGCGTAAACTAGTTTATTTGCGCTATGTTATCGTGCGGGGGCACACAGATTATTGTCTCTGTGCAGATTTGCATTTGCATATTTGCACGGCTAGCAGGAGGACCTCTGTGATAATGCAGTTTCAGTGTCTATTAGGTCTGAAGTTAACCTAGTCTAACCTAACCTAACCTACAAGTCGGTTAATTTGCTTTGCCTGGATTTCTCGAATTTGTATACGTCACACGAGTATTTAACTTCCTCTCATTACTCAGATAGGGAATTGGTCTGTGATCATGGAAATCATTAGTTTACGAATTAAATTAGATATATTTTGTAATTTTGATACTTTCGACGAATTTCATTTATATTTAATTGTGACGAACAACTTAACGAACGAGAACTCGATAAATCCTTGAGGCATGTTTTTATTAAACGGTTTTTCGGAATAATTACGTTTAACGTGGAAAGTGATGTTAATCAATACCAAGTTTCTTATAATTCAAAAGGTCTTAAAGAGCATTCTCATTATATATTTGACGAAATCGATGTCACTCGACAACGTTGTTATTTCTGAGATTCTATATTATTTCAAGATAAGGGATTATTTTTTTTTGGATTTTCATCGATTTTTTAGGACTTCAAGGTAGTCGTGGGATGTGAATTGTAAGAAAATTTCATTTCGTGGATTTTTAAGTGTGAGTCGTCAGAGATCCTTTTTTTTCAACCTTCTTGAGAAATATTCGGCGGAAGAATTTAACGATGATAATTTATCTTCAAGCCTGCGGATCCCAGGACTGTATTAACGGACAATTTATGTTCACTGGAAACTTTAGAAGTTATAACAACTTCATTGCTTACGTCGATTCGTATTTCACCACGGGGCAAACTTCGTGGACTGAAGTTTGAGGATTTTCTATTCACGAAGTCGCACGCTAGAATATTCAATTCATTTGTTATTTTGATATAGTGATAGCTGGCGCCACTGTCGCATGTATAGGTATATTTAGAATATAAATTGAATGATGAAAAACGTTCACGCGATGCTTTTGAATTTTGCACGAATGCTTTGAAAAGGTTCCACTTTTTAGTAGCTTCTGCCATTTTTTTATATGCAAAATATTCATAGTTTCGCGGTAAGGTCAAGTAGAAAACTCGAGGTGACGTTATTTTTATTTAACCTCGAGATGTCACGTGCGAACAAAACAACGTTCGCTAATTACATTTTGATTAAGTAATAATTTCGTTGACACTCGACTTTTTTTTAATACACCCGTGCCAATTTGTTTTTAAATCGTGTTCCAATTTGAGTTTATTGTTAATAAACGAATACGCGGAAGAAAAATAGACCGAGGGTGAACTGAGAAAATAATCTATTTTCGTTCCTGAAAATTTAGAATACAACATTAGTGGGCTCGTGGTATTAATTGTACAAATTGGAATATCGAAAGAGCAAATTATCAAGTAACATATGAATAATCAGTTATAATTAATATTACCTAAAACCACCAGGATTCGAGTAACCTAACCTAAGCTACGATCAGGCTATGATATCAATTCCACTCGAAGAGGCCATCTCGTTATGGATTACAGCGTAATGGAGTCCCCTCGATGTGAAACTGATATCATACCCAGACAGTAGCCCCTCAGATCCACTTTACCTCACATTACATCTCAATTCTCCGATTGGCAGTTGGAAATACGAAGTCGAGAAATCATTGACCTCGGGCAAGGAAGCCTCTTCGGGCGTCTTCGTCTGGTTCGATTCCGTCACGTTGTTTCATCGCGCACGGAAATTTCAATAACAAAAACAATCACATGCAATTTTTGCGAAAACCATTAAAAACATTGCATAAACAGTAAAAAAAAAAAAGGATTTGCACGTAAACAAAATAACAAAAATTTCTCTTCTAAAAACTCTTCAAATTGCAATTGTGCAGAAATCCACACTGGAACCTCGTAACCGTGCAAAAAAGAAGTATCGAAGAATGCTAAATTAAAGAATAAAAAAAAATCAGTGTCACGTAAATAATTTTAGTGAAAAAAAAAAAATTGCAAACAAAATGTCGACTGAAAGTCAAAACGGCACCGCGACGCAACCGAACGGCATTAAGTCCTCCATGACGAGTCTGACATCGACGTCGACCCTGACGTCGACGGGACGCACCGTGACGAACAACTCGTCCTTCTTGTATAGCAGCAATTCCATGCTGAGTCGTGAAAAGGCGCGACAGCCGCCGCCGCCCACGTTGCCAAAATACACGTCGAGCTTTAATGCCGGTTCCAATGGCAGCGCCGAGAGACTCGGCAGAGATCGTGAAGCCGGCGGAAGTTACCGATTGGCCAGTTTGGACAGACTTGCGCTCAGGCAGAGGATACTCGATGGCGAAAAGCCCAACGGCGACGCCACCTCGGTAAGGATCCTCATCCCCGTGGAACGTCCTGTTGAATTCAAGACCAGTCGACAGTTTTACACAATTGTTTGACCTTCCTTTATGGCTCTATGACTCCTTGGCTCGTTATCCATTTCTAATTTATTCATCCCGCTCCTATACAAAAGAGACCCAGAAATACGTAAACACGAGCTCATTATATTCGTTTCTCCTTTGTAATGTTTTGTCTACGTTACTGGAGCGGTTGAGCGAAGGTCTTTTCATTATTTTAGCCGCATCGGGCCGGTCGAAGAGGAGCAAGTGACGTCAGAGAATAGATCCAAGTGACGAAATATTTTTGTCCCCCTTCAAATCTCCCAAGCTACGTTAAATCAACGTGTTGGTGAAAATAAGTGGACATTTTTTTTTTCAACCGTACTAAAAATTAGGATTTTTGTTTGTTAGGGGCCTCAGGTTGAGCACCCCTATCGAAAAACATATGGCGGACTGCACCCTCGCATTACGAGTGGTACAGGCCGACGTAGAGTCCTGGTCTCTTTGGTACCATACAGATTTGTTATAGTGTGGGTATATATACTGTGTACAGGGGATGCCACCCCCCCAAGAGAACCCATCCCTCCCCCGTATGCGTCACGGACCGTCGAAAAATAAACTGTCTCACATGACTCATGTGCGAGATGGACGGGTATGGTGAAGAAGGCTTGCTTACGTCACGGATCTTTAATATCCTGCAGCCCGAGCCGAATGAAAATTTTTTGTAGTTTTATTTAACTCTCAAAAATTATTTATTCAAGAAATAATTGTGACCAAAAATTTTTTCACCACGCACATGGCACACGCGTTGCCCTGAACGTATGTGGGACTTGTCCGGGGACGTTGAAAGTCCCGTGAACGTCCTATAGACGATTTTACTGTACGGATAGGGGTAGATGACGAGGTCTCAGGTTTTATTTTCGCAAAATGACTTTCAGTTCAGGGGTAAGATATTTGACAATTAATGTAAACTACCAAGTAAGGGCTGTCGAAGCTCTGAAAAATATTATTATCCAAATCCGTTAGGAGAGGTCTTATGTATCTTGTCATGGGAACAGTAACCTAACCTCAATCACGTTGGTAGAGACAAGAGCGCGCTCCCTTTCTTTGGATTCGTATATACATGTATATATGGATGTATGAATGAATGCGGTGCTGATTTCATAGTGGAGTGAAATACGAGGTAGAGGGGAGCCAGGCAATACTGGCTCACTGACACACCAGGCTCCTTCGACAAAGCCACCCTTTCAGGAAAGCGGGGCGTGTCCCACTTCTTTTTAGTCCTATCTTCCTTTTCCTTTTCTTTTTTTTTTTTTTCTTTTCCTTACTATATTCATTTCTCTTTTTCTTTATCGTATGCATTCGTGTTTCGTCCTCTTGTCCGTACCTTTTCTTCCTTTTTTTGCCATTCATCCCATACACGGGACTATTATTGGACACGTGTTAGAATCTCTGTCACAGTTAAGCGAAGCCATCTTGCTTTTAATTTTTTGAAGATCCTATGGAGATTTCAAAACTCTCAGTTACATACTGAGACCAATTAAAATTTTTAGGGTTTTATGCTTAGTCGCTTTCTGTGCTTTGGGCGCGAAATTTGAAATGGGTTATACGGTTCGTTACACTTGTGTATGTACGCGCGCTTTGAAATTTGTCATTTTCCTGCAGAAGAGGACGCGTTAGGGTGTATGAGGGTAGATTTTAATGTCTGCACGTAGAGGGATGCAGTTGGTACATAGGTCATAGGGTGGTTGACAGTGACTCTCAAACACGTGATTATACACTTTTAATTATATATTGTTTCTTTCTCTCTCTTTCACTGATTACATTCTATGGTACGCACGTGACCTGCTTGCCAAAATATTTGAGATTCTGTGAATTCGACGAAAAATTTATCAAAACACAGTAATCATTGTTATCGTCGTAGTAATTGATTCTCCGTTTATAGAAATCTTTCGTTTCAGAAGTACGAACGGGAAGAATTCGTAACTATTTCCTTTAGTACCGTATATCGACGACGCGCGTCGCCACCGTGCATTTCCGTGGACAATGAAAGAAACATGGCTGCTGCCTCCCATCACAGCTGACTCCTCGGACTTTTCTTCATGTGCAACAATTCCCTCGGAGATCGATGGGGAACTGTGCGTGTCTGGAATTCGTAATTTCAGAATTTGATTGACTTTTCTCGGTGTAGTGGTGGGGATACAGAATCTTACAAAAATATCAACTTGGTACATGGGCATAAATTTTTAATGAAAAATGTATAAATAAAACTATTTTGTCTCTTTTTCGTTTCCTTCTGGGAAATCAAGTTGGGCAATGAATTTTTTTCTCGATTTTTCAAATCACCTAAAACGTGTTGCCCGTACCTATCTACGAACGTTTCACATGATCCCCGTGGATTCTGCGTGATAAATATCCGCGATATTCGTGGACGCGAAAATATGATCAATCGACGCAGATCTCTGACGAATATCAGTCGATCTGATTTTTGACGACGGATTAAAATTTTAATATCGTAAAAATTATTATCATCATCCCACGTGGTATCGGTCGAGAATCGTGCTTTATGCGTAATAGTGATAACTGTGCGAAAAAAAGTGCAATGTATCAACGAGTCAAAAAAGATTCAAGTGACACTTGAATTTTTTTTCTCTGAACGTACGTTTAGTTGCGGCGAATAATAAAAATTTGCAATATCAATTTCTTTTTTTTTTGGGGGGGGATTTTGCAGTTCGTGCGAATCTCGTTGTAATTCGCTAGTGTGCTACATCGATACCAATTAGAATTGTTACACGTGACGTCACTAAGTACAGATAGACTCGTCAATGCCAAAAGTACGCCCATCTTTCCACTAATAGAAAGCAGATCACATCCAGACTTCAGGCAGACAATTCGCGCGGATTCAATTCCGCGAACGTTTAACGCAGTCGTACTCCGACGCATTCGCACACGTACGCATACGTGTGCAGGTATATAAGAAACAGTTGCGTACATTGCGTACCCTGTAAAAAAAGAAATGGCGACTAAAAGCAGACTGTCTGGAGCTCGGAGCTTCGAGCTCTGAATGCGACCGAGTCAGCTGGAATTGAATTTCTTGGAAAGTTTTTTTTTCTCGGTCCAGAATTACGTCACGCTCTCTCCAGTATCGCAATTGCGTGCACGCAAGTGCATTAGCGCCTATTGGCTGTTGCGCTCGTATCGGGTGACGTCATTGAAAAATTCAAACATCAAGGTTACGATATCCCGACTGCGTTTACGACTCAAGACCCTCGTAGAAGCTTTTGTATGTTTGAGAGTTAAGGAAAACTTTTTTGCATTTTTCAAAAAAAAAAAAACCAGTAATTTTTTTAAAAATTCTATACCACTTCGTAATCCAATCTCTAATCTTTATTCAGTCGGAAATATGGCGTGTAGTCCGACTGGGATTTCTGTTCTCGAAATAGTGTTTTACCTCCTTATCGATCCAGGTACACGTAACTTGCTCGGCACTGTTGGTATCTCTGCTTTGTGCTTCAGTCTGCGCGACGTTGGTAATTGCGTTTTGTAGTAACGAGGATTCGGAGGATAAGATTTTTTTCTTCTATTCGCTTCCTGGGCTAACGAAGGAAATGGAAAAAATTGCGGATAGAGCAATCTTACCAACCCAAAAGATTAAAAAAAGAAAATCGATTCTTGTCGGGAAAGACGGTTCGGTTGGCTGTCCTGGACTCTGAATCGATATTCTCTTTATTCTCGTCTTTCTCTTCTCTCTCTCTCTTTCTCGACTTCGTATCCTCGTTCCCTCATTCCTCGAGTAGCCAAGTTCCCAGGCGAAGCATCGTTGAAAGTCGATTAAAGCGATTTCACGGAATGGAAAGAAAAGACCAAAAAATATGCCAACGCTTTCTTGTCCCTAGATGAGTCTCTTTTGTCTTTTGCACTTACGTATATTGGCTCTTGTATCTCGACCCTGGATTATCGGTGTAGGTATCTACATTACCGACCGCGCGTCTACATTACCGACCTTGACGAACGGATTCGTACTTGCATCCAATTAAGTCTTAACTTCTATTACATTCCATAGATGGTACGACGCCTCGTTCACTTTACTTGAATAGGACTGATATCTGAAACGAGGGTTCAGTTACTTACCTCGCAAGGCGTCGCGACGCATCTCTTCTCACGTGTCACGTTTAAACGTTCAATTAAGTCGATATTCTCATCGCATAGTTAATTACGTTACCTCGCATTGATTGGGGTTAATTATTTCAATGATTTAATCTTATTAACCAACATTTAGTCATATCTCGTATCTACCGTCGAAATGCATTAAATGGCGCGAATTTTGAATTTTTTATCGTAATAATTAATAATTAACGTCGGGAACCGTCTGACCGAAATTTATAATCAATCTCGAACTATCGGTAGGAATGATTTTATGATTTTTTTTGTTGTATTCCAGATTCATGATTTATCCATGCATTTTTTTTGTACTTGGTAGATTGTCACCGTGTGAAAGCACCCTTAGATCCTTGTTCTCGTCATCCAATAGTCGAGTACTTCAGCATCCCAGCCGGTGCATTAAGATGCAGTCTTATACGGCTAAGACCGGTTTTCTCGGTCCCGATTCTTCCTCTGCTTGATGCTGCATTGCCAACATTTCTTTTAGAATTTTATAACCAAGCGAAATCCAATAAAATTATTAGACCAATTATTTTTTATTAATAATAGATCACGTTGCCCTTTTAATGAAACATTTCTCGAGTCACTGATCCACGCGATTGGTTTTAAATTAAAAAATTCATTTTTTCGCAATGTCCATGTATATGAAAAAAAAAAACTGTTATGGTAATTAGCACACAGAGATAATTAGTCTTTCAGACAATTAGCACCGACCTTCGACTAACGAACCTTGAATAATACTCATTAACGTTGTTATCATGATAATAATTCTCTTTCCTAGCTTTCGCCTAGACACGGTCAGCTACGTGGCTCTCGTCTTTCAGTCATTTAGTCAATGAACGTGGCCAGTCATTGGCTTTATTTTTCATAAATTATCTGCCAGGCATACGGGGTGTCCCATTTTTGACGTTCAATGTAATTCGACGAGATGCATTGGCAATTTTTTCATTGTTGCCTCTGGCAGAGATCCGACGAGGAAATCATCCTGGTCACATCAGCAGGTCCTCACGAGCCATTCAGGGGAGAGTCTCTTGATAAGGGAAATATAGATTTGGGAGGTTTGGTCCATTCCGAGGAAACGTCCTCGACGTCGGATTGGAGCTTCGAGATGAATATTGAAGTTATAGGAAATTTTGAAAATTTTCTCGACTTTCTGGAGTCTCAGGTAGCCATTTTGCGAATTGACGTGATAAAAGTTTTAAATTTAATTGTTACACTGAGTGGGTATGGTTGATTGGGGGGGGGTCATGGTAAGGAAATTGATCTAATTAACTTTTAATTTCTTTTCAGATACAGACGAAGCGCGAGCTCTTCTTCAAGGGTGACACCGGTGGAATAAATTCGACGTCATCGTCGTCCCCGTCGGTACCGCTGGTACCGCCACCACAGCCCCCGACGTCGGCGTCGGTAACCACAGCCGGTGGACCACCGGCACCACCGACAGCACCCACGAAACCTAGACTCCCGCCGACCAGCGTGACCTTGAACCAGACCGATGCCTCCGAGGACAGTAACAAGCGCGAGTCCGCCAGGTCGGAAAGCGCCAAGGAGTCCAGCCTGGCGCATCCTAGACCGACGCCGCCGACGAAGCCAAAGGAACTCGACGGATACGTCGGCTTCGCGAATCTGCCCAACCAGGTGTACAGGAAGGCCGTGAAGAAGGGATTTGACTTCACCCTGATGGTCGTCGGTCAGTATCATCAGGAGTTGATGGCCTCGCTTTTAGGATCATCGACCCCTCTTGGAATTTCAGTCGTGCGAACCGCCTGTGGTTGTTCTGATATTTTAAGTTAAGGTTAGGGTTAAAGTTCATAGGATCCGTGGTATGTAAAATACTCTTTCGTTTTTGTAAAATTCAACCAGTCGATTACGTCGAGCATTGGTCTTATCTCTATTTCCAATTGCACGAGGATATTGAATCGTAATGTGCCATCTGCTGTACACGTGCAGCCGTTCAGGCTTTCCGTTCAGTTGTATCAGTGTTTTCGTCCTGCTTCAGAGGTTCTCACGTGTTCCGTGTCATTCGTTATTTCTGATACTTTTTTTTTAATACTCCGGTGGTCTAACCTGGACGCGGCTAGAGGTATCAGGTCTCTGTGTCGGATACTTGATACGTGAAATATCGAGGAAGGGTTTGTTTTAATGGCTAGAACGTAACGGTTGTACAGCTTAGACCTGTCGTTGCCGTCGTGGAATGCATAAGACCCAAATGAAAGAGTCCAATAGCGACTAATGCAAGAATCCAGCTGGATTACTTGTCCCTGGCTATTATTAGGCCGACGCCATAAACGCAGCCATTATTCCATAAATAGAGCAATTGAAGTGGCTCACCCTTGGCGTTAAGGAACACGTGAGGCCTGGTACTTGAGTTCGTAAATTTTACTAATTGTCGAAATTAATTGTGTCTTATAGCTTTAATTTGCGTTGACCAATCAAAATTAGAGAATTCGAGGGATCATCTTTAGTCTTAATTGTCATAGTGTTATTTTTTACTTGTGAGACAATCGGTCAAATTGCTCTAGTGATTTTATTTTAATTTTTGAAATTTTCATTTTACAGGCGAATCCGGGCTTGGCAAGTCAACCCTGATCAATTCCATGTTCCTTTCGGACATCTACAGCGCGGAATATCCTGGACCAAGTCTCAGGGTCAAGAAAACGGTCGCAGTTGAAACAAGCAAGGTTCTCCTCAAGGAAAATGGTGTAAATCTTACCCTGACTGTTGTGGACACACCAGGATTTGGCGATGCCGTCGACAATAGCAATTGGTTGGTGAAGTTTAACGAGGCTGATGAATTTTCATTGCTTCTTTAACTTCCGGTGGGAGCTGCTGAATAAATATTTTCTCTTCGTTACGTTCCAGCTGGGTTCCCGTAATCGAATACATTGAATCCAAGTACGAGGAATTTTTGAATGCGGAGTCCCGGGTTGTCAGGCGACAAATACCCGACAGTCGCGTTCACTGTTGTCTTTACTTTGTCGCACCTTCTGGACACGGCCTTAAGCCTCTCGACGTTGAATTCATGCAGCGACTCCACGACAAGGTCAACATCATCCCTGTTATCGCCAAGGCTGATACCATGACACTTGACGAGTGCGCTCATTTTAAAAAACAAGTAAGTCATTAAGAGAACTATAACGAACATTGGACGACCTTATTATTTTTCTCTCAGTCGATTCCTAGTAACTTCATACGTCTCTCGTTGATCCACCGATTGTTCTTTTTACTTCCTTTAGATTCTAAACGAGATTGCCCAGCACAAAATCAAAATCTACGAGTTCCCAGAGGTCGAGGAAGAGGAGGAGAGCAAACTCCACAAGGTCCTGAGGGACAGGGTACCGTTTGCTGTTGTTGGTGCAAATACTGTTGTGGAACAGGATGGAAAGAAAGTTCGAGGCCGGAAGTATCCCTGGGGAGTTGCGGAAGGTACGACGTACCTTCGTTACTATATATTCAAGATCGTAATGAGGGAAAGAGACTCTTGTTGGCTCTGGAAAGCCATTACGTCCTGTACCTTTATTTTGTGTATTTCGACAATTCGATTATTAAACATATTTTTCGTTGTTGCGTGACAGTGGAGAACCTGGAACACTGCGACTTCATAGCCTTGAGGAACATGGTGATCAGGACGCATCTTCAGGATCTCAAGGACGTCACGAATAACGTTCACTATGAGAACTTCCGATGCCGCACACTGGCGGGTCTCGGTGTCGATGGAAAACCCACGAGAATTTCCAACAAGTGAGTGAAAAGTCAAAAGCAAAAAGAAAAAAGAAGGAAACATTCACGGGGCGTTCTAATTCTCGCTCGAACTCTACTCTTCACGCACACTCTACTCTCTTCTACTCTCCGCCTTCTACTTCCTTGACGATGAAGTTCTCGCTTGCGCGTTCTGTCTGCGCGACGTCATAGTAATCGCAATAGAAAATCATCAATGCTTATTTTTGGGAGAATCCGTGCGCGCGCAGTACTCGGAGTGGTTTTTTTTTTCATTTTTCTTGTACTTTCAAAAATCCATGTCTTGGGGTTAACGAAGGAACAGAGAAATCACTCGACGAAAGTAACCATTATGGACAAGGGATACAAAGGTAGTATTTTATTATATTTTTAAATTTTTTTCACATTAGGGTGACGCTGGTTACTGGGTGGGGGGTGTGTGAGGGGTCAGGGCGACACAATACTATTTGGCAGGGTGAATAATCGAGAGGAATAAAGCTTGTGCATGCAAACTAAACGAGGGTATAGTCAAAAAAAAAAGAAAACTACCTCTGAAAGTAAAAATTTTGAAAATCGAGAGTTGCCGAGCAATCGTACATAGAGATTTGGGCGGTAAGGTAGACACGAGTCCCGCGAACGATATGTATATATATATATATATTTTCTTGAACTTTGACACTCGGCTGAACGTATTTTAATGATGGTTTCTTATTGGTCAGTTTGTGCCCTCCAGGAGTGATGAACAGTTTCATGACGGTGTGGTAAGTCCTTTGCTAAGGCTGAGAACCTACGTAATACGGTTTTGTGTGCACAAGTCTTGTCATTCTTATTATCTATCTGTTTACCTGTATTAGATGAAATTTATTGAAAATATAATCGTACGAGCTAAAAAGCCAACGTTAATTCCGTGTGTGTTGCGTTGAACGGCAAATATTCGCTCTACTGTTTATCTGTTGAAGAGACAGCGGAAGTAATATATCTTTAATCTCTTTGGAACACCCTCTATAACTTTACGTCTCTTTGTTCTCTACTATCCGCTATTCACCACCGCACAGTCCTTGCTACGTTTTAGTATTTCTTTCGCATTTGCTCGCTGCCTTGACGATTTTTTTGTTTCTTTTTCTTTTATTTTTCATCTTCTCTTTCGCATTGGTCTCGTCTCTTTACCAATATTCTCTCTACTCTTTGTAACTTTGTATCCTCGTCCCCTTGCCACAGCGTAACACTTAACAAAACTAGAACGCTCTTCTCGTGAAACTGTTGTATAGTGTATTTAAATTCTCTGTCTACAACTTTAACTTTGAAGTTTTTATAAAAAATTGTAATTCAAACTGCTCGATATGACCGTCTTCACTATATGCAGTCAGTAATTAATTGAATCGAATATTTAAGACTTCTGAATTACATGTCGCTTCCGTCAAATCAGTGGTTAATTATCGTAGATGGTGTAATAAATAAAAGATAGATGGCGCAGTGTTCCTATTTGGTATTAACGTATATATAAATTTTTGCGCAGGAACCCATTGGCACAACTTGAGGAGGAGAAGCGGGAGCACGACACGAAGATGAAGAAGATGGAGACTGAAATGGAGCAGGTATTCGAGATGAAGGTGCGCGAGAAAAAGCAGAAGCTCAAGGATTCCGAGGCTGACGTGAGTAAATTTGGTCTTTTCTAGGAAAAAAATTCATTTTCACACTGTCACCTCTTGGTAACAAAATTCTTATTTCTTACCTCCCCATTTCAGCTACAAAGAAGGCACGAGCAGATGCGACGCTCTCTGGAGCAGCAAGTACGCGAACTAGAAGACAAGAGACGTGCATTCGAGGCTGAAAAATCCACCTGGGAACAACAAACCGGTCACAGCCTCGAGGAATTGCGCAGACGCAGTCTGGAAGCCAATTCGAAAGAGTGAGTAGTACCATGACGCGTCGCTTTCGACCAGAAATGAATTTAGATTTTCTTTTTAAGTGTCTTTCATACGTTGTCTTTCCCCCTCCCTGTCCTTTCGTCGTGTTTACCTAAAATGGGAATTTTCTGATACCGTCGTTCTCGTCGCTACTGTCGCATCTCGTCACTCCTTTGCTGTTTCTTTCTTATCGCTGTCAGTCTCTTCTCTCTGTGTCTTCGAACAAGAACAATTGTCTACCACGTTCCCAGCTGATGAACAGTTTTTTATTAACTGTCAACGTAAGTACGAGAAAGCTTCTCTGGTGTCGCATGTTTGATTGATCCTTATTGACGTTAATCCACTTACCTCGTACAAAAACAATGATTGTGTTCCAATACTAAATATTCAATTATACAATTTGACAGATCTATTTCCTTTGATTTCAGATGGATTTTTATTTTTTATATCTGTAAAAACGTTTCAATACGCAACTGATACTCCAACCAATTACATTTAAACTGAGTGCAATTGTTTCTTATGATTGGAACATTTTCTTACATTTTCAACTAATCAATCACGTTTAACGAGCATGGACGGTTGAGATTGTGACGTTAACGTCGAGACGACAATTTATAAGGTGTACAAATCCCTGTAACGTGCAATCCATTTAACGCAATGCTGGTAAAACCCTTTTAAATTATTTTTGCCTTTTGGAATTAGTCCCGTTCCTACGTCCCTGTTATCCTCATTAGTTTGACAAGCATTTAATTGCCCCTCAGGGCTGATTACCTTCTGTTAGAGGTTATGCGTCTACTCCCAGGAAGTCATTAATAATAAATAATCAGAGGGCCTTCATTAGTATGCTTTTGAGGATTAATTCTGGAGAGGAGGTGAGAGTGGGGACACACGTACAAGACTTATGACATTATCTTTTGAACAAAAAAAAATTTTAATGCACAGTTAGACTTTATGGATCAATTTCATCCCTTGTTTCATCAAGAGCATGCTGCTGATTATAATAAATAATTATATTTCTGTAATACCTTTGTATATTATAACCACATGCTGGTTTCTTGCTACACAAGATTCGTCTAGCTGGAATATTTTTTATTACTGGAACACCACAAGGTTCTTTGAAATAAAAATGGCGTTTGCAAATATATTTCAAACGTTATTTCACTACTGAATTATATCCGTTCTGTGCTATTTTTGATCTCGAGTGCACCTGCATTTCATTTGCCTGCAACTTTGAAAATAATAATAGAAAACAGTGACAGCACCAAGTACGACATACAATACAGAAGGCCAATGGACGAAACGTTTGAAATCTCACTTTCTCTCTTGGCTTTAGACTAATTTGACTCCTTTACTAGCATACGTAAAAATTCCCTAGGGACGTAAAGCTTGGTGACAATTGTACAAGTTTATACTAAATGTTAAACGTCAATGTTGTGTATACCTTGAAAGCAATCGCGCTCGTGTACCCTGTGTAGCCATTTTGTTTCCTATTTCGAGTCTGGTGATGTTTTTCTCGTATTTTACTTGGAACAATGACCCAAATTTCTCAGACTTTCCTTCTTGAGTCTTTTCTTTTTAATTCCTTTCAGTTCTATGGCAAAATTTTTGGCTTTTCGTTGATCCGATAGAAAAATTTATTTCGTGACGTCACTTTGCAATCAAAGCAATTAGTCGGAGTAACTGTTATTTTTCGAACTGTAAATATCTAGTGAGTCATTTTTTTTTTCGTGACTCTCGGTACGAGTTAACGTCCAATGCAAAATTAAACGATGTATTTTTGATATCTGCCTTTTGAATTAACTGCCTTTTTAATAAATTAAACCTACCTTGCGTTTTGAGATCGAATTACAGCGTTGAAAGTAAATGCATAGTCTTCGGTTTCGTTTTACGTACAATTATGTGCAGCTCGCGCAGGCGCAATACTTTCCCACCAGTCATTTCAATGATTTTGTAACGAACGCGTCATTTGCCTCGTCCGCCATGTTTGATCATACAAATTGTCGTTTGCTAGTGTAACAGAATATACAAAAGTCATTGTTTCTATCGAAATATTGTGCACTGTTGTCTTTGCTGTAAATGACTCATTTATTTCGTGCCAGTCGCGTGACGTCACGACGAGTAACCGTCGTCTCGGTACAAGTCTAACCAGTACCGCCATCTGTGCAACACTTCAGAGGTTATAACTTTTCTATCTCTCTGTTCTTTTTTTTTCATGGTCTTCATTCTCTTCCTCTTCTCTTTCAATGCACGCAGCCATTTTTTCCGATTTCTGAAAAGGCAAGTGATAACACCAAAATTTGTATTTATATTTGGCCTATGCGTACGCAATACATAGATGGCGCGGTTTTTTTTTTATTCGAATTTTTCATACAATTCCTCCAATTTCTTTTTTTTTTCATTTTAATTCTTTTCTCTCCCTTTCATCTACTATCGCACGGAGCAAAGCACAAAATAATAGTGAACGAATGCCGAAAACATACGAATTCGCAATATCCATCAGCCGTTATCACGATCATCGGCCAAAAATTGTCATACCTTTTTCTTGATCGATTACCTATTTTTTTCTCTTTTACTTTCTCTGCTTTCATAACACCGAGCACACTAACCATCTGTCACGATCAAACGGCATTACCCCGTTCCATCGATTTTTGTGCTACCCAAGTTCCGAAATTTAAAAAAAAATTTTTTTTAATGCATCACGTGCTTTCTTATTTTCGACAAAAAAAAAGATTAATCCAGCCATCCATATCACAGATATTCAACCTACATGTACTTCGTTCGAACGAATGACTCTGTACTCCACGAATGCTTCGTTTCTTGGTTCTCTTGAAGCAGCTGGATAAGAAGGGGGGCGGGAGGGGGTTGATGTAAATGCCCTAGGAAAAAAAAAGACTTCCTGGGAATGGCGACGCTTTACTAATCGCAAATAACAGTGGATCGAATTTAAAATTGGTGCATCAATTTTTGTTTTCCTTTAATTACGCCATACGCTTATTAGTTTTATTTAATTCAAAAATTACGGCCTACGCCATCTATGCATTTTATCTTTGTCTATCTGTCTGTTTGACTGTCTATCTATATCTACCTGTTATATATATATACTGTCTAGCCATCTATCTGTGTTTGTTTGTGCTGTGTATACGATATCGGGGTGTCCCTGATTTAGGACGGGATCCGTGTCGTCCGAGGGATCTGGAGGTGGCGGGGGTACGTTGAGGGGGTCCCGAGGGATAGGAAATCTTCTACGTCGTCACACCAGTTTCAAATCACCTCAAGACAACCCCACACAGATACAGCTTGTCATACAGCATCCCGAACACCCGTAGTAGGATCGTAAATTAGTTGGTCTCAGATGCGAAGTGACGGTGCACGGGATTACTTTTTTTTTAGTGAAATAAAAATGGCGTCGATTCTTATATTAGAAAAAAAAAATTAGAACAATGTAAACGCGAGATCTGTGCACGAGGACTTTGTTTGTTTTTTTTTTACAAATTAAGGCGTTCGATCTCCTTTTTTTTTCATTTAACATTTTTTTCTTCTGGACGTTTAGAAAATTACGTCTGACCGCGTGTACAAAAAGAAGGTTACCAGTGCCATTTTGTAGTTGAATATTTTAGCAAGAAAGAAAAATGTTTTTTAATCCTTATCGCACTTTTTTTTGTTTGATTTTCGAATTTTTGAAAAATGCATCTTACTTCGAATGCATTCTCGAATCCTCGTGTGCAGGCATTAGGTACGCGGAAGACTGCGCCGGATGTCAGTGTCATGAAGTTTTTTTGGTTATCGTGTTAATTTAGTTTTTGAAAAAAAAATTGTTGGATCACCTGATTTCGTTCGGAATATGGTTTTCATGATCCAATCGGGTTTAGTGTTACGAAAGAATCCCGAGGCACCGTCGAGACACGAAAAAAAAGTTATGTTACTCGTAGAATGAAGGAAAATTTCGCCGATAATTAATTAGAACAAACATTAGTTCATACGAGAGCCCGCTAGATGGCGCTACGATCAGGCTTCTTAAGATCGCAGGATATATTGTATTTTTTGTACGATCGTTAGTTCGTACTTCTTTTTTTTTTTAATTTAATCGACTTTTTTTAGTCGAGCAACGTCAACGGACGCTCTTAGTAGAATAATGACATCTTTATTGTAAACTCTGAACAAGCTGTCCGATTAAAAAAGAATAAAGGAAAAAATTTCGTTTGTCGTACGAACATTCAGTGTTACACGTAGTGTCGAGGTCTTGCTGGGTTTTTTTTTTTTTAATATAAACTGATAACTCATTTTAATTTTGACTTTTTTATTTTTCAATTTACTTCATCATTCTATTCTTCTGTCCGTCCTTTGTCTCCTGACAAGAGAAACGCAGTGACGGAAGGTCTTACAGAGATACAGATAGAGAGAGATAGAGACAGATAGTACTAAACGTTGCAAAGTCAGAGACAGCGGTTAGACACAGTGTCAGAGTGTTTTTTGATTGACAAAAAGATTGACAGCTTGACAGAGGAGAAAGAAAAGTATCATCTCATTGTTTACTAAATACTACTAACCAATTGATTTATAAATTTGTTAATTTCATCATTCGCAAATAAACGTAATGCTTTTCTTACGTCATTTTACTAACCATTCTTCGTCCTCATGCATATTTTTCAGTTTGCGTTTTCCGGTTCTTTGCCAGGAGCGAGACTGTGAGCTTTTTTTTTCAATGCAAGAGCAAGAGAGAGCGAGAGAGAGAGAGAGAGAGAGAGAGAGAGAGAGAGAGAGAGAACCGAAGCTTTGTAACTTTCGTTTCGCGCCCCATAGGACAGTCGCAAATCGTGGCTTTGACGCGTTGCGGCGCCACCGTACACTTCATACGCTTTGTGTCTCTTGTCAGCGGCGAACGAGCTTCTACGCGCGACTTCTGCCGCCTGTTTTTTTCGCTCACGCAAATTTTTACACATACGTACCGTAATACATAGTCGCTACGTAATTACAGACTGGCATGAGGCTTTACCCTTTTTTAAATGTTTTTTTTTTTTTAATTTCACATCGTAACTCGCGTGAAGTAATTTTTCGCCAGCATGACGTCTGTGTACGCGTTGTTGTCTCTCGATGTGTGCATGTGTTTCGTGTTCTCATCGAAGCCCCGTGACAGTGTATAACGAGACGTCAATTTTATTCGAATTGCTAAAATTGTTTCATCTTTGATTTGATTCGCTTTTTTTTTTTAATAAAAAAAAGCCAATGTATCTTTGTTGACGATACATTATTTTGATAAATTGTTAGTAAATACTACATGGTTGTCATGGAAAAACGGTAAGCTTGAAGAATTATCAGGTGGCGTTCGGCGGCGATAATCATCAAGGTTCATAATTAGTAGTTTCCTTATTACGCGATAGAGGCTGCGAATAAATCAGGTCATACTATCCACGTTTAGAGTGGGATATGTGTCGGTAAACTTCGACTAAAATTAGTCACTACATAGGAATTCTGTGTATTTGATATTACAAATCACTTGGAATGACCTGTTTTATTTAAATGTATTACTCACGGAATCTCAATCAATCTTTCATCACTAACGACAACGTATTGTCCATTTTGAATAGACATAACGTTGGCTGTAGTAAGCTTTTTTTGCTAAATCCGTTGGGTGGCGGCAGAAAGTTGCAAATGGAATTTACCATGGAAAAAGAGAAGTAAAAGAAATATTTTCATTATTGAAATTCTACATTATTATGAGATAAATCATACCGTGTAGAAAGTTTCACGTTCAAATTGAAAATCTACCTTATCGACGATCGTTAACGTTATTTGTGCTGCCACCTGGCGACTTACAGCCAGTATTAACCTGTAAGTGTAAAACCGGTACTAGCGGGTGAGTTTCATGTGATTTTTTATTTCAGGGCCGTCGATGGCAAGGACAAAAAGAACAAGAAGAAGGGCCTCTTCTAATTCGTTGGTCGTGACAAATATGAAATAAAGATAAAGATGATTACGAGATTCTGGGAGAAAAACGGGGCGGGGGGGGTAAGGAACGAAGGAGGTAATGGATAATAGACATTTTGCTGTCCTTAATGGAATTTGTGAAATATGCCGATAAATCTTAAAAATTAATCAAACGAACGAGAAATTCCCAAGATTCATGTTTCTTCGTGAAAATGCCAGAGCGTTCGAACAACAAAGATGGCCAACAACAATTTCTTTGTTCCGTTCGATCGGATATTAGCATATTAATGTCATTTGTCAATATTCACATGAAACAATTGACAATTTGCATCACATTAGTAATTTGCAAATTGTGATTCGTGTATTATAGTTTTATTGACTTTGTAAAACGCATAATTACCGTATCGTGAAAACAGATATTAAAAAAATCTTCGCTATTTCTTTATCATTTCTTGATTATGCACTCGCTTCGTTCGAATTTCCATCCGTAAGAAAATCGCGAAGTCTGACGTGAGAATGTCGAAAGACAAAGAGAGAATTACGTTTTGCATCTTGTAACCTAAATCTAAACCTTAAATTTCAAGTATCAAGGTAGACATGATTACGACGAAGCATTAGCCATATATTTATATATCTAAATATGTATGCGCATGTATAACTATATCTATTATGTCTATTATGCACATACGTATATATATATATATATATATATATTTGCATATACATAAATTTATATATAAACGTGACGAGAGTATAAAGTATAAACATAAGCTTGATCGTGTAAGCATAAGTTATCGATATTAAAACGCGCCAAGAAGTCTAGTAGGTAATCGTGGCAAAGAATTATTGCATATACATAAATTTATATATATTTATATATCTAAATATGTATGCGCATGTATAACTATATCTATTATGTCTATTATGCACATACGTATATATATATATATATATATATTTGCATATACATAAATTTATATATAAACGTGACGAGAGTATAAAGTATAAACATAAGCTTGATCGTGTAAGCATAAGTTATCGATATTAAAACGCGCCAAGAAGTCTAGTAGGTAATCGTGGCAAAGAATTAAAAAAAAAAAGAAAAAAGTAATACGAAGAGCGCAAAGTTTGAAATTCAAACGGTATTTGTCATAGCTGCGCGCGCAAGTTGCGCAGGAATCGTTTGACAAATTGGCGCGCGCTATTCAAACGCGACGGAAGAGAAATACAAAGCCACTGTAGGTCTGCTCATAAAAATTTTCTTCTAAAAATAATATTATATTCATCACCGGATGTGGATCTAATCTAATTAAGCTACTTTTGTGCCAAGACGAGATGAGTGCGAACGATTTTGTAACGCCATGCGCGCACGGCCCCCGTTGTATTCTTTATGAAACGACAATGGCGTAGCTGAGTTAATTGAACGTCTGCAAGAGAAGTACATATGTATTTGTAACTTAACGAAGCACGATTTCGTTTCATAAGAGGGCCGTTTGCCACATTCCTATTTTCTACGCAATTTTTCTAGTTGGTCGCCGTCGCGACGCTTCGCACCGGCGCGGATATCTATTGTATACACTAAGAATTAAATTTAATTAATGATCAGCGTGTTATATCATTGACGATCAGAATTGTCGACTCTATCGTGACTTGAAATTCGTCGAGGTTCCGCGCAATCCCACCAGAGTGCGCGCGACGCTAATGTTCTCGAAGGAAAGTGACAGCGCTGTTGTATCAATCAGATTTTATCATCTACCCGGATGACATAATATAACTCGACGACCGAGTATTTGATATTAGTGGAAAACTCATTTTGAGTTATTTCGTTTGTTTCGTTGAAATTTGGCAGAGTAGCACCTTTCGCCTTTCCGCGCTAGTTCTGCCATCTCGTGGCGACAACAAGAACTAATCCACTTGACATAGCGGACTAAATGGAAAGGATTCGTTCAAGGAAACAGTAGTAACATTAATTCACGATATTAAATTAACATCTGCATTTGTTAATCGAGAATATCGCGGTAATTCTTATTTAATCGTAACGTTTGTGAAATTCAAAGATTTTGGCAAACGTTCTTCAGACAATTATTACAAATCGTGTATACTTTATATAACAACTTTCTTCACAGGACAATTATTTTTTTTCAATCACTGTCCAGAATTTATATATTTTCCGCGTTTTGTCGATAAAACGATGTAAATTCAATTATTATACGTGAATACAAAAAAAAGGGGTCGCAATAAATTATTTCTTGCAAGTATTAAATGCGCAACTAATTTAAGCGTCATTGTAAACTTCATCAATGTCGCGACGATCATCATAATTAATTTGATCTTAAGTCAACTAGTAGCCTTACTACCAGCCACCATTAATGAATTAATAAAACCGTCACGAAATCCTCTCGTACCACTGTACTTAATAAATTTCGCTCATCCGACTTCGTATCTGATATTCCATATGATTCACATATTAGGCGTTATCCACATAACAATGCATTTTTCTTTTGAATCGCGATTCGAGAATAAACGTATAAAGCATTATGTGTATTAAGCCGTGAGAGCAATGCATGAGTGTGCCGCGTAATTTGAAAAAATGTTTCCTCCAATTTTTTTTTTCACTATAAAACCTAAACTTACCCACTGTTCTTGAACGTTAGAGGGGGAAAAAAAAGTATTGTCCAACTATTTAATTACGCATATAACATATGTACAAGTTCATAATACGTTTATTTGTACTTTACAGTGAAAAAAAAAAGAATTGTTTATACGTTTCCGTGTTAGTTAACATAAGTATATATTATATACATACATATATATATATATATATATATATATATATCCATCCGCAAAAAAACAAACAAAAATTTGAAGTATCGAGTACTGTGTGTATTTTTATCGACAATGCTTATTCTTAATGTTTATACGGTGAAGTAAAAAAAAAAAGAAAAAAAAATGAAACAAAATTGTAATGCGTTAATCGACATAATTTTGTTTTATCTGACGTAAGTAAAATATGCGCCGTACGAGTCTGACTATATTACGCGTGTGTGTGTATGAGAGCGTGTCTGTGTGTGAAAACGAAAAAGAGAGAGAGAGAGAGAGAGTGAAGGAATAATAATAATAATTATGACAGAAAGCATGAAAGACTAGAGTAAAAAAAAAAGAGGAAATAAAATAGAAATTATATTTTGCCGTGCCAGACGAAAACAAAGCTGCCGCCGCTACTTATAGAGAAATTGTAATAATTCAACCACGATTATATTATATAATAATTATTATGATTATGTACCGAGTAAATTATCTATAAAAAGACAAGGGCCCACGATTTTTATTACTTATCCTAGTCACAAGTCTATTTGTAACGTCTTTTCGTTAGAACTAGATAACTGGAATTCCTACATTACCGGCTGGACAGGAATTATTCCGATGTGAAAATGTAACCGCCGCGTCATCACGAATACATTAAATCGAGAAATTCGAGATGTTCGGTGGAAGTTTGATTATTACGAATTGAAAGCGTCGCAACGACCCACATTTTTAATCTCTTGTACGTTGCAGATGACCAAGTTTTATATTGAGTGGATATTCGACTTGTAGAATTATTTAAATTTCTTTACGACCTATCTACTACGTGTCGATTAACATCTATAACAGGCTGACCGTTATGGGTCATATGAATTTGTATATTTTAAATAGTTTTCTTGCGAACAATTAAGTGCAACGTGGATTTCGTATTAGACGGATTGCTCGTAACCTATATTTACTCAGTTTTGTATAGTCAGGTAACAATCTTTGACCTCTTGATAATGAAATTAGTTTAGGTTATAGTCGCGAAAATACTTTTGAACGTTTGACGTCATGTTTTCTAATTGATATGATTCTTGCCGTGTTATGCAGTCCCTGCTTATTCCGTGCGCCATATGCATTTCGTTGAGATAACGGCTTTATTTTGTTGGGAATTTAAATAGCGACAATGCTTACGGCTCATTGTGTTTCGTTTTTTGAAACTAACGGGTCAAGCGACCGTTCGATTGTTGAGAAGTCAAATAAATGAATCCTAAATGTTCGTGAACTTTGACCTTAGATATATGTATGTGTGAATTGGATAAGTGTTGGTTCGTGCTATGCAATCTTTTTCTTTTATGTTGGGTCTAACGGGAAGTATGTATATTAATAATAATTACGTGGACGAATATTTTATTTTTATTGTTAAGTCATTTGTATTTATTTTCAATGGTAATAATTATATCTTGATTGATGTTGACTTCTAATTGTTTGTAATAATTTTTCTTCAATTTTGAACTAATAATTTTGCTGATGAATAATATCTTCCTTTTCTTCTTCTAAGGATTAAGTAGGTCAACTGTTCAATTATGACGTGTAGCCCATTTTCACTGCGACGTGGTCGACTGTAGTTCAATTTAATTCTTCTCTATAGTAGGTTCTTTGCTTCTGATTATTTTTATAGTCCCACGTAATAATCTTCCTTAGGTAACAATCGTTATTTAATAATTGACAAGTGTCGAATAATTGTTAATTTTTATTTTGCTTTATTTGACGGATGTCAGTGATCGTTTTTTTTAGTTGTTAATAATTCATTACATATTTCAGTGACTTTATGTCGAAGGTCCTCCATGTTATTGTTATGTATACGATATGTATCCATGAAGAACTGTTTTTTTATTGGAAATTTTTTACATTCTCTTGACATTCAGTTTTTTTAATAATAACCCATCGCGCTATTACGTTGTCAATGATTTACATTAAAAAAAAAAGGAGAAGTAAATATATTTCTTGACTTTTAATAACATTTAACTTTCTCACAGGTCTGCTCTGCAATGTTAATTAAAAAATTTGAGATGATAACAAATGCTTGATATAAAAAGACACTAATTATAAAAACATTTTCTGATAATGAGAAGTAAAAATGTGGCGTGAAAAAATCAGTAAACACTTTTGACTTGTAATAAATTATTTGTGAATAAAACGTAAAAGATTGCCATTAGATTGAATTAGGCAATAAATTGAAATTTGAATGTTAAATCAATATTGTTTTAACCCCATAAATTTTGTAGTTCTATGAAGTTATAAATTACATGGATGGGGGTTGCTGTACATACAATTACTTTTTTCTCCCACATTCCTGCGCTGATAGGAAAAGAAAATATACGCGTTTCGCAACAGGCGTCGACACGCTGCGGCGTCGACGTCGGTTCTCACGATTTGCTTAACTGTTAGTCGAAGACGGTACTTCCATGAGGAAGGTTGGGTGAAAAGGTGCGACGAAGGAATTTGCGTGCTAGCACTAGGAAGTTAAGGAATTTCGAATATAAAAGCACGTAAATTAATTGACGCCCCGCGGAGTAGGGATACTTGCCCACTAACCGTGATTTTCACTTTGAAGTTTCACTTCTAACCTCAATTTAGTACTGGTCGCACCGCTTCTCTTTCCCCTACACATTGCTGCTCGTTGACCGGTGAACAATTACTGAAGAATTTCCTTAAAGAAATAGTGGTACGTGTTGCTGAGTATTTATTATTGAAAAGACGTTCAATATCGAGGTTATTTCTACGCTCGTTGATTGCTGTCGTTTTAGCGAAAGTATTTAAATTTCAATTCAAGTTTGAAGTGAACACTGCTGTGCGGGTTACGTAAATTGCTAGTGTACTTACTAATTCTTGATGATTTGTTTGCTTGAAAGAAAGTAGTGTATGCTGGTATTCCTCAACATCTGAGCCTGTTGGTGAGTTCAAATTTTTTATTCAAATAAAAACTTTATTAGTCTTTCGGTTACTGGAATTTATTGGTTGATGGAGGTATGCATTTGAAAGGATAAATTTGATCTTTTCAAAAGATTTCTGTTGTAGAATAAAGAAGCAAAGACATGGCATGGCCAAAAGATATTGGAATCAAGGCTCTGGAGATATACTTTCCAGCACAGTATGTCGATCAAGTTGATTTGGAGAAGTTCGATGGGGTGGCTGCTGGAAAGTATACTGTTGGATTGGGCCAGTCGAAGATGGGATTCTGCAATGACCGTGAAGACATCAATTCACTTTGCTTGACAGTACTGCAGCGATTGCTGGATAGGAATAATATAAAACCTGAGGATGTTGGTAGACTGGAAGTTGGTACAGAAACTATTCTTGATAAGAGTAAATCTGTGAAGACTGTTCTTATGCAATTGTTTGAGCCACTGGGTTGTACGGATATTGAAGGTGTAGATTCTACAAATGCCTGTTATGGTGGTACTGCAGCATTGTTTAATACAATTGCATGGGTAGAAAGCAGTTCATGGGATGGCCGATTAGCTATAGTAGTTGCAGCTGACAATGCAGTTTATGCGAGTGGAAATGCAAGGCCTACTGGAGGCGCAGGTGCAATTGCTATGGCTATAGGACCTAATGCACCTTTAGTGTTTGATCAAGGTATAAGAGCATCTTGTATGCGTCATACCTATGACTTTTATAAGCCAGATTTACGCTCTGAGTATCCTGTTGTAGATGGAAAGTTATCAATCCAGTGCTACTTTGGCGCTCTAGATGAGTGTTATCGTAGGTATTGCTTGAAAACAGAAAAAAAGCATCCTGGGGAAACTGTTTCACTCAACACCTTTGATGCATTACTTTTCCATTCACCATATGGTAAACTGGTACAAAAGTCATTCGCTAGATTAGCCTTTGTAGATTTTCTTAATACACCCAAAGAGAAGATCTCCGAAGAACTCTCTGATCTAAAGAAGTTCCACGATGCCAAATTAGAAGAGACTTACTTCGACAGGGACATTGAAAAGGCCTTCATAAACCTAAGTAAAACACAATTTGCTGAAAAAACACAGCCAAGTCTTTTCGTATCAAATCTAGTTGGCAATATGTACACACCCTCTGTTTATTCTGGATTAGTTTCATTGTTAATTAATAAACCAATAGATCAATTAGCAGGTAACAAAGTGGGTATTTTCTCGTATGGCTCCGGATTTGCATCGAGTATGTATTCCTTGACAATAACCAAAGACATTAGCCCAGGTTCAGCTCTTCAAAAAATGATATCCACTCTATCATACGTAAAGCCCCAGCTAGAATCCAGAGAACGTGTCACGCCCGACGAGTATACGAGAATTTTAGAATTGCGTGAAAAAAATTGTCATACAGTTCCATACGAGCCAAGTGCAAATATCGAAAAAATGTTCCCAGGAACGTTTTACTTGCGTAGCATTGATTCCTTGTACAGAAGAACTTACGAGCGAGTACCGAAATTGGATTAGTCGAGTTTAGAATTCTCTTTACATTGTTCTAGTAATTATTTTATAGAAATTGAATTGCGTGAATTTGTTTACAGTTAATAATTTTATCATTGTTTAAACAGTGGGTTTAAAATCGAAATGGCTCGAATCCATCGAGCTTTGTACTTTAGCTTGAATGGCTCTTTGAGACTTTTTAATTTTGAAATCTCGAGAGTGGCGTTAAGAAATAACAGAAAGTAATCATGTAATTGTATAATACGTTCTATCTGTTTAAAAATTACTTCCACTCTCAGTTACAAATATTAGGAAATTGTAAGCCATTCTTTAATCCTGTACTGGTGGGGTTAATGTATTTTGATTTATTATATATTCAATAATTGCTTTTATATTTTATTACCTTTATTCAAATCACTCATATTGTTATCGCAATTCAATTTACACGGCTTGCACGTTATAAATTCGTGAAAATTCCTACATGCAAAGTTGATATCAATTAAAAAATTTCATCGATAAAGGATTAAAGAAGAGCTTAATATATATTTATATTACATATAAAATATCGTTCATATGTAAATATGTTAAATATAAACTTACAGCTAGTAAAAGCCTTGAAGATCATGTAGCAATATTCGCGCAGAAAATTCAAAGTATTAGCACCGATATTCATTCACACTTACATTCAGACTTAAATCATGCAAATATTCGTATAAAACAGTGAAAACTAAGGAGCGAATTTTTGAAATTCAAATTTTTACATTGGAGATTCGATTCTACCCAAAATTTTAATTACCGTAGCACACTTTCCTTCAGTTTTCGTAGAAAATGAATTTTAGTTTTACTTACAAAATGGAGACGCAAATGAATTCCAATAGTCAAAATGACGTATTATGATGATACGTATAATGAATACCGATAGTGGTTATCGGTAAGCGTAGTAAAGTGTATACAAATTATTTATTTCCTATATAATACCACTGTCTCGTTAACAATGGGCATTCCATTAAAACTGGCATTATCATGAATCATGTTTTTTGCAAGATAATGAAATTGCATAGGCCTTTTTCGCGATAAGATTCAAAACAGAATTCATTAAGTTTTTCCCCAATATATGCTTCACGTAAACTCTATTAATACATGGAACATAAATTATAGGTCAACCCAATAATTTATGAATTCATATCAAGAGACTCAGTCGAATACTGCGTTTGATTAATATACCAAATGGCAAGAGCAGCTTTTTATTCTCACACATATGTACGTACGCATTTGAAAGAAGTCATTTTCTATTTTTTTTTTTTTTTTTTTTTCCCGTAACAAATATAAATCAAGGTGCACGTCCAACAGAGCGAATCCCACCTCTTTTCACGACCAAAACATTCTTATAACGAACTAATCGTAATTGTAGAACGTAATTTTTTAAATATCGTTGTAGGCTATGAACGTGCCTTACAGGACAAAGAAACGCTGAGAGAAAAACAAAAAGGAAAAGAAAATGCGTTCCTTGATACTCGTGATTTAACTTGACAAGATAATTTTTGTTTAATTATTCACGTTGTTAAACATGATCGTTTTCAAATATTGAAAGATTAAAGACAAACAAATTTCACTGTCAAAATAAATGAAACGTGGATCAACATAATTTTTATTTAACGTTTGCGTCGTATATTTGAAAAAGAACAAGAAAATTATAATTACACAACTGACAGTTATCCTTGACAATCAATTGAATCGCTCAGGAGTTAGTTTATTTTGTTAAATTTAAAGAAGGATTAAAATTTATTAAGAATTTTTTAATAAAGGCTCTCTATTATCCAGAGATGTTAAGGATTCTGGCTTTTTCTATTCTTTAACCGGTCATTATGTAACATAACCTCGCGCCTGTGTATCCAGCCAAGCAAAATTTATTAGGGTTATAATTTATAAAATTAATCTATTTTATCCTTGTATCGTCTGTTATTTGTTACTTTGTGTATTAAATACACAAAGCGGTGTATGCGTGTCGCTTTGAGATGCTATTCAGAGAATGTTTCATACGCAGAATTATAAAATTTACTGTCACGCAATCAATCATTACTTTGTCACGACGTGCTATCGTGAACTGAAAATGTTATCGATCGTAGACGTCGGTTATTCTTGTATTCAAAATTTGTATTCTACTACGAAAGCATTGGGTGGAGGTTCTACGATAGATTTATTATTGCGTTGATTTCGAGAAGAAACGAGAGGAGCATATTTGAAAAAGATTAATAAATAAAAAGTGCGCAATGTTGTAAAAATTTTTTTATTTCATACTTCTATTTCTTAACTTGATCCATTTCATATTTTATATTGGCACCCCTTGTGTCATTTGTGACATTTCTACTGATCGTGATATTTCTACTGAGGTCTATATGTTTAATGGCTTATAACGTTTAACTCACGTGTCTGTCAATACGTCTGGCACGTCTCCTCATTGGAGGAGTCAGCCATAAGGAAAGGAAGGAAGGTCTGTCAATACTTTCTTCTTTTTTTTCTTGTAACAAATTTAGTTTATCAAACAGAGTAATAATATTGATTAAACTTATGTGAACAGCGATGGTAACGTGGATCGTCGCTTTAATATTTCACTACAAAAGCAATTTTCTTGGAACATGATTTGTATATATTACTGTTGCTAGTTTATGACAAAAAGTTTGTATCGTCTTGGTGCACGTCACGAGTTAACCGATGGAGCTATTTTTATCGATTTCTTCCTAATTTACTTCGTCTTGATTTTGGACAGTAATTACTGAAATGATGTGTCGTCGTCTGTTAAAAATGTTTTTTCTTCTTTTACTTTTATGAATTTATCAGCAATTTGCCACGTGTCAATTGTATGTACAGGTGATTGAAATACTTGCTGTTAAAACATTAAAGGCGGGAGTCGTAGTACTACGATTTATCTCGACTGTAGCTTAAAGGCGAGAGTCGTAGTACTTTTTTAAGTCTACATTTGTTTATGATTACACAAAATATCACCCGCTCTAGGACGAAAAACGAGGCGGGACGGTCGCCACGTTACCTAGCATACTTTCGTCAAGATCCCCCGCCTTTAATGTGTTAAGATGGTTTGATCACTCGAGCAGTTCCAAGATACAGATCTGCACTTTGTATATTATTTTGGCAGAGGCTTAACGGTCGTGCGTGCAAAATTTCAAAATTTTCTACCATCTAGTTTACGAAATATGTAGAATGGAAATAGTCAAAAACGCACCATATAGATAAACTTTGCTTGTTACAATAGCTATATTTTTTTTCGAGATAACTCAGCTTCCAGGTGATAAATGTGGACGAAATTTGTAGAAGATACTTCTTTTGCATCAAACAGAACCATGATGACTTTTTAATTAAAAACAGAAATTTTGTCATCATTTTTCACAGCTTCGTTTAAACAATGTTTGATACGAAAATTTTTTAAATGATGAATCTGTCCTTCTGATCATCTCAAAGATAATACCTTACGTCGGAATTATTGTTGTAATTAACGATAACATGGAATTCATAGAAATTAGTATTCTTTTATTATTAAGCTAGGCGAACTACCTACTGTTAAAATTTATTGATAAGCGGATTTGTTTCCTACCGATGGACAAAACAAGGAAATAAAAGTAGAGTAGAGAGGAGGCTTTACTTGATGGAAGCAGGGGTCAGCAGGGAGATGCCCAACGCTAAGGTCTTAGGCGATACGAAAATCATGGCGCTAAATCATAGCGGTGAGTCTGGGAGTAGGATTTTGTGATCATCGCCTCCGTCGACAACGCGAACACCATCGTAGCCGAGCTAAACGTGAACACGAACGTGTAGCTTGGCGGCCAGAGGTTCTCAGCTACTCACCGCAGGGCTGCCAAAGCAACCCTTAGAACGAGACCGGGAAGTACAGAACTTCTCAAAAACTATTGAAAAAGCCTATTGTTGAAACATTTT